CATTTGGATGAGCATTTGGTGGGGGAAAGCATACCTTTTCCCTAAGTTTCTATAACACACATTTGCAAACAGTGTTTTGTAGATAAACTTCCAAGAAATTGGCTTTCACATTTGCCTGCTGTGCATGGAACCGGGACATGGTTGGGTTTACAAGATGAAACAAATAAATGCTTATCAGTTCTCAAGCCAAGGTTTAGTTAATGCCCCTCCATAGCTTCCCAACCCCTCTACCCCCCAACTGCAGTTAAAGTTCAACCATTTGGGTTTTGAGTGCAGCACAGCGAGACTCTGATTGATACCATCGGGCACTGAAACTCTGCTTCGCTCTTGGTTCAGGCAGCCAGGCCAGAGGAGAGCAGTGCCAACCCTTTTATAAAATCCCTGCCAGTTAGGATAATTCTGGAAACTGCCAACCTAATGTAGCAGAGAGGGAGGATTCTTATGTTGCTTACATTCTGTAGAATCAGGATGCCATGAGTCAGAGAGCCCACTGGACCTTCTACTAAGAATCTTCCTCTGTTAAAAGACCCTGATTTAAGTGTGTCCAGGTAGGATCTAGCGTGTTATAACTCATTTGACCTCTAAAGACCCTTGCTACTGGGTGGCTGACTGTTCCAGCTCCTGCAAAGAAGAGTTAGCCCCATTTCTCATAGTTCTTTACCAGTAGATCTGTCCTACTCAAGTGGCCCTTGTAAGTATATGCATTCCATCAGCCCAGCTCTCTTAGATGTGATTGGAGCTGACAAAGGCCCGAGTTAATATTGCATCCTGCCTGTCTGAGTGTGGTCCACTGTGTGTGATGCATGGATAGTTCACTGACCTGACTCTGAATCCTGATACCTTAGGAGATATGCCTGCATTGTTCTTCTCCGGGTTCTGTGGTGCTAGGCAGGTGTTATGAGGGAGTGGGAAAAAAATAGTCTGCATGGATTACAGTCACTACAGGAAGATTTCTCTATGAAATACAGGGTCAAAGATACGGACAACTGTATAGCTTCCCAAAGTAATCACTGATTTGCTGACAAAAAGTTGCGTCTCATACATTCCGGCCAAGATAACTCCATTGTCAGTAATAACAGTAACAGTAAAAGAAGTCAAGTGTTCCCAGGAAAGTTGTTTTTATTTGTTTGTTTGACCTTGAGATAGATCAGCATTTGATGAAGTTACTGTAATCTTTAGAACACCATCATATTGCCTCTCTCTCCCCATGTAGACTTTGATGTCTGTGATTATAGGACCATAACTAGTGCATCCGAGCTAGTACTGAGCATAATCTCAGGAACACAGTAGGTGTTTAAAAATACTTGTGTTGTGCATGAATGTTCTCTGTAGCTAGGGCACCTCGAGGAGCAGCAGAGAGCATTCTCTGTCTGCTTTTACCCTGAAAGTTCCGGAGGAGAAACAGGCATGACATACTTGTTCTTAGTGCTCTCCATCACTCAGCTACCCTGAGTAACTTGACGTCTGCATTTTTAGTCATTGGTTTTCTCTATCATTCCTAAATAATTCACAAGTGTCCATGGAGTCCATTGTCTCATCCCAGTGTCTGCAAGGGTTTTGTTTCACACATACACGCCTTCCAGGTTCATACGTGCCTTCCAGGTGTGTTCTGTGTCCTCACTGCTTCCGTACACAGCTCTCTGTGGAAAGCCTTGACCACCCTGTGGTGCTTATAACTGGGTTACTCATCTGTCTTTCTCTTGGACTGCCCACTATGTGAGGCAGGGGTCTGGCTTTCTTCTATCCCCTGTGTGTAATGTGTTTGACCCACGGTGGGCTTGTGTTGATGTTTATAGGATGAATGAATAAGCAAATGAATAGAAACACTGAATGAATGAAATGAATTTATCCAGTGTTAGATCATCTCCAGGCACTTGTTTTTAGATGGTGGCTGGAAAAGAGAGTCTGTATTAACTAACGTGTCACTAAGACCTTTCATCTTAGCCTTATTGTTGATGTGGTGTTTTATACTGAGGTTCCCTCATTATCAAGTAAGAGTTCAAAAACAAAATTCAAAATGATCTTTATACAAGATATAGCACTAAAAATGAGACATCTGCTTGTATAAATTACCAAAAGCCTACAGGCAGTAGAGCTTGAAATGAATTAGATCAGTTAGATCAGTCCTGGTAGTAAAATCAAAGATTTGAATGGGCTTTAAAATGTAGCTCATGCCAGTGGCTCTTTGCTTTTTCAGGGCTGTTCTTTTTGATATTGTTGTAACACACAAGGTCAAGGGTTTGAAAGTGAATGAAAATTTCAGTGGGACCAAATAAAATCCAGGTCACATAATGCATTGATGAAACGGTTTTTAGAATACATAACTGTACAATTTAAGAATGAGTGCTTTAAAGTTTAATGTTAAACAAAAATAATAAATGTGGTATAAATGAAAAAAAAATGCTTGGGTTTTCCGAGAGACCACTTCTTTTTTTTTTTTTTAATTCTTTTTTTTCCATTTTATTTTATTTCTTTTCAGTGTTCCAGCATTCATTGTTTATGCACCACACCCAGTGCTCCATGCAATACGTGCCCTCCATAATACCCACCACCAGGCTCACCCAGACCCCCACCCTCCCTCTCCTCCCAAACCCTCAGTTTGTTTCTCAGAGTCCATAGTCTCTCATGGTTTGTCTCCCCCTCCGATTTCCCCCAACTCATTTCTCCTTTCCATCTGCCATTGTCCTCCGTGTTATTCCTTATGCTTTATAAGTAAGTGAAACCAAATGATAATTGACTCTCTGCTTGGCTTATTTCACTCAGCATAATCTCCTCCAGTCCCGTCCATGTTGATACAAAAGTTGGGTATTCATCCTTTCTTTATCCGTTCGTCCGTGGAAGGTCATCCTGGCTCTTTCCACAGTTTGGCGACTGTGGCCATTGCTGCTATGAACATTGGGGTACAGATGGCTCTTCTTTTCACTACATCTGTATCTTTGGGGTAAATACCCAGTAGTGCAATTGCAGGGTCATATGGTAGCTCTATTTTTAATTTCTTAAGGAATCTCCACACTGTTTTCTGAAGTGGCTGCACCAACTTGCATTCCCACCAACGGTGTAAGAGGGTTCCCCTTTCTCCATATCCTCTCCAACACTTGTTTACTGTCTTGTTAATTTTGGCCATTCTAACTGTTGTAAGGTGGTATCTCAATGTGGTTTTGATTTGAATCTCCTGAGGCTAATGATGAACATTTTTTCATGCCTCTGTTAGGCATTTGTATGTCTTCTTTGGAGAAGTGTCTGTTCATGTCTTCTGCCCATTTTTTGACGTGATTATCTGATTTGTGTGTGTTAAGTTTGAGGAGTTCTTTATAAATCTTGGATATCAGCCCTTTGTCTGTAGTGTCATTTGCGAATATCTTCTCCCATTCCGTGGGCTGCCTCTGTTTTGTTGACTGTTTCCTTTGTTGTTTAGAAGCTTTTGATCTTGATGAAGTCCCAAAAGTTCATTTTCGCTTTTGTTTCCTTTGCCTTTGGAGACATATCTTGAAAGAAGTTGCTGTGGCCTATGTCAAAGACAACTACTGCCTGTATTCTCCTCTAGGATTTTGATAGATTCCTGCCTCACATTGAGGTCTTTTATCCATTTCGAGTTTATCTTGAATGATGTATGATGTAAGAGAACAGTCAAGTTTCATTCTTCTACATGTAGCTGTCCAATTTTCCCAGCACCATTTATTGAAGAGACTGTCTTTTTTCCACTGTATATTTATTGACGTACTTACCATATAAATATAGGTAAATATGGGTGCTGAACCCATTCCTTTATTCCATGGTAAATCAACTGTAAATGATACACCCACTATGTAAAGTGAGGATAAAGTTAGTCATTTATGCTCTTCTATTTCTCCCAACATTTTATGACAAATTATTATTTTTAGTTCTTCTCTTGGTCAGTGTTGTAGTCTTTAATAATTTATTGGAGCTACCATTTTTTTTTTATTCATGCTATTTCTGTTATATCTCTTGATGCCCCTTGTTTTAAGATGAGGATACCAGTGAGTTTACAACATTTCCTCCGTCCTATTTTATGTCTTACCCTCCCTGGCTCTTCTTTTGCTTTTTCAGTAACCTAGAAGTATTTTAGTATTTATATTATGCCCTTCAGGGAAGGATTTTTAAAATGATTTAAAGAGAAAATTGAAAACCAAAGCCAGTAAGTGACTTGTCTGAGACCCCTTAGCTAGTTAAGGTTAGAGCTGGAACTAAAGCTTAGGGCTTTCTGGGGGTGCCTGGCTGGCTCCTTTGGAGGAGAATGCGATTCTTGATCTCAGGGTCATGAGTTCAAACCCACATTAGGTGTAGAGATTACTAAAAACATTAAATAAACTTGAAAAAATAGAAGTAAAAAAAAAAAAAAGCCTAAGGCCTTTGACTTCCGATCTCTAGGGGGTTTTCTACAGAGAAACTCACTGTTTGATTCATCACGTATTTATTGAATGTGTGACCTCCGCCACACACTACAGTAGATGCCACTAACACAGAAGCGTAGGAAATGGTCTCAAATCTCAAAGTTACGAGTGACGGAGGAAAAACAGATACATGAACAAATCCCTGTTTCAGTGCAGTAACATTGTTATAAATTAAAGTGCTATCTAGTTTTGTTTCTGGTTTTGTTTTAACCCCACAGCTCAGAGATTTGAGAAAGTGATAAAATTAGAAGTGACGGCTTTAATATGTTGCAGAGAGAGTGTAATTACATATCCGATTTATGCATGTTTGAAGAATAAGTAAGATTTTGCTGATACACTTGAAGGAGAGTATTGTCTGTTCCTATTAAGATTTAATGCAAAAACAATTTTTATATATTTAAATGATAAATTATGTGTTATATCATGTTTCATGGGCTCAACCTGTTGTTTCCGAGTATCCAGATAATTTTCAATTGTCCTTAGAAGATTGTGTAGTATTTTGACTCCAAGTCTAAGACTTATGCATTTTCTAATAGATCCTTTTTGTGGTGACATGTGAACTTTTTCATTTCTTTCTCCTACCCTCAGATTTTCATCACTGTGAATTGCCTGAGTACAGATTTCTCCTCCCAGAAAGGGGTGAAAGGACTTCCTTTGATGATTCAGATTGATACATACAGTTATAATAACCGTAGCAATAAACCCATTCATCGAGCTTACTGCCAGATCAAGGTCTTCTGCGACAAAGTGAGTAAAGATCATAAAGGTATCTTTGTTACTAGATGTTACTTTTAATGACATTTCCTCCTTGTCACCTTTTCTCTATAGTGGTGTCAAATTAATCACCTTGTCAAGCACACTGGGAGTTGTAACCTTTCGTTTTCAATTCCTGTTAGATATCTAGGGAGTCATCAGTCAACTGTACTTTTATTCTTTTTTTAGTCAATCATTTTACTACTAATTTAATGGCTGATTGACATTGCACTGTGCTACTCACTTAGATAAATGAAATAACAGATTAATAGTTTTTACTGGGTATAGGCCTGTCCCAGAGCATATCAGTATAACCTTTATTATTTTATGGGTTTTATTATTTTATGGGGTCTCATCCAGAGCTTTTTGGAATAGAAATGGCACCTATAAAATAACTTCATTAGTAAATATGCACTCAGGAGGAGATACAGTTTTTTAATCTCTCTGAATCCCTCCATAAGAAGATAGAGCAATTAGAATATCAAAGCTTAAAATCCTGTGCTTACGTGACATGAGGTCCTTACAAATCCCAAATATGAGTGGGAGTAAACAGCAAGGAGTTTTGAGGCCTGTACGATATCAACATCATGAGGTGGAAAGCAGTGGGGCTACTTGATAACCAGAGAACAGGAAACCTACAAGATTGCCCCATGGTACCCACGAGAGAATGAAGTGTGCCAGCTGAGGACAGCATGTGAAGCCGGGGTGGGAGAGTACAGATTTGTAGACTCCAGTTTGCTATTACTGGAAGATGCAAAGGGATGGAACATTGAAGTGTTTGGGGCTCTAAAAACTCCGGAAAGTTATAAATTAAAGTTCTCTTCTTTAAAGTTATAAATTAAAGTTCTCTACGGCAAAACTCTGCTCTGAGAAAAAGCTCCTGGTAGTAGAATCCAACTTGAATTGGACTCCCTCCACTCCTCCAAAACAAGGGGCGAAGGAAAGAAGTTCCAAATAAAAAGGACGAGGAGAAAGGATACAGAGTAGACAGATCTCAGGAAATACAGACTATTTCTTTTTTTGTCACTTTGTGAACACATTGGAAGAGAGAGCATGAGAGCCGTGAAGTCAGCAGAACTCTTGTTCCACTCATTTCACTTAAAAATAACTATCAGAAAAGAAAAACAGTTGAATCCCATACAGTGTCTCATGAAAAAAAGAGATTAAGATCTGCCTGACTTCCTCGGGGACAATGGGTACCTGCCCATGAAACAGATAATACCTGCAGCGGAGTGTTCCAGAATGAGCTAAATGAAATTAAGAACATCACAGAAACCTTGAAGAGCAATATAAATCATGTAGAAAAATTCACGAGTTGTTTTGAAAAGAGCTGTGATAGAATTCAAGAGAGAATTCAGAAATAAAAGATTAAAATATTTCAGAAGTAAAGACTACATTAGAAGCAAAACAAGAATGAATAAATATACCAGGGAATGCCTTCAGAGGAATACAAGTTGAAAGGAGAAAAATTTTTTAAATCAAAAGGAATAAAAAACGAGAGACAAAAGAAAATAATAGGTAGAGGACAGAGGTAAAGAAGATCCGTTATTAGGAATCTTTGAGAGAGAAAACTAAAACAGTGGAGCAAAACAAATGCTTAAAATGATAAATCAGGAAAACTTTAAGTATAAACTATATGCATAAGCAAATATGTGTATATTTAAGCAGCCTACTGCATACTCGGGAAAATTAACCCAGGATAATCAATACCTAGTTGTTAACCTATGAAACTGTAAAGATATTCTTTGGGCATCTATGTAAAATAGACTAGACTGGACTACAATAGAATAAAAAGCCACTTGCAAAGAAACTTTTTTTTTTTTTAAATGAAAGCTTATTTCCCTGATATTTCTTTTTGTTTTTGTTTTGTTTTGTTTTGTTTTAATATTTTATTTATTTGACAGAGAGAAATCACAACTAGGCAGAGAGGCAGGCAGAGAGAGAGGAGGAAGCAGGCTCCCTGCCGAGCAGAGAGCCCCATGTAGGGCTCGATCCTGGGACCCCAGGATCATGACCTGAGCCGAAGGCAGAGGCTTTAACCCACTGAGCCACCCAGGCGCCCCGCAAAGAAACTTTTATCATCAGACTTTTCAACAGCATTCTCAGGGTAGCCTCCCCAGTAGGCGGGCCTGTTAAGCCAGTAGACACAGTTGTTGTGTACATGAGAAAACAGTGGGTGAGTTGCCAGAGTCACACAGCAAAACAGTAGGGGAGCTGGATGCAAATATGGGTCTGATTCCAAACCCATACTCCTTGAATGGATGAACAGCTGTACACATGGAAGCCAAAATGACAACTGATGATTCAAAACCTCAACCAAGAGCCAAGGTGTCCTTTAAAAACAAAAGGAAACATACAAAAGTCAGTTAATATCTTCAATTCAGCATACTAAACATTAAAAAGCATTGTCAAATGATGTACAACGTGGAATTTCTTAAGTACAAATGGGACAGCATTTAAATAATTTGAATTCCCTCACTTTATTCCAAATACTTTAAGGGAGATTGTAGAATCCCACCTCCAGGAATCTCTTTCTTGGAAGTGAGGAGTGGGATTAGGGGGAAGGAGAAAGGGAGGGAAGGATGTGATAGAGACTGGGCGCAGTCCATTTACCTTTACATTGCAGCTGGGATTGAACGTGGGAAAGAGAAGCTTTAAAGGATGCTCCTGTAATTTTTTTTTTCAACAATGTTGATATGACAAATACTAAAACTCAAAAAAAAAAAAAAAAGGAAAACGCAAGATGAATAGAGAGTGTTAACCTTGTTGTTCACCTGTGCACTAGCACTCTAAGAAACTAGTGATGTAAAGTGTTGCCAATGGGTGGTTTTAGTTTACTTACCCTGGTGTTAAGGATAAGGAAGAAATCTCAGGCAGGGTGTATTAACCTTAACTGCTAGTCATTTTTCTAATAAGCTAGATACAAAGTCTTATGTTGTGATTTGCCATATTTGCAGCTCTAATTTCAAAACCCAAGCAAAACTTCCTCCTGGGAGATTAAAAAGAGAAAAAGTTTAATTTTTCCACTTTTCAGATGGGTGTGTCAATGCAAATGATTATTTTGAATTCTTCTCTAACGCAAAAGAACTAAGAGCTGTTCCATTTTAAAATCATAAGTTTTCCAGTCACAGTCAAGAATCTTAAACAGATGGAATTCTGCACTATTTATAGTTCTCCAGCTTGATTTATAATTAACACACCTGTGAGAATCAAAGACCTTCTCTAATTTTTTTTGATATTATGATACCTCTATGGAAATACATGTTTTTGCCTTAAAAAAAAATTTGGGATCTGTCTGTATATCTACCTATATTAATATCTATGTCTGTGTCTTTATATCTGTATTTAATTACTTCCATTATCTTTCCTGAAAAACAAGAATTATAGTACTATAAATAGTAAGTATGTATTATACAAAACTTGAGAAATAAAGCAATGTTCTTTTTTTATAATAGTTTTTTTCCCTTTATTAATTTTTGTTTGAAAAGATCTTGGAGGTGACGACTGTTGAAGATTATGAAAAGCTAAAGGTACTCCTGCAAACCATCTTGGTACCTTGGCCAACTTTCAACTGGTTATGGACACATTTTTAAAATAAATTTCAGAGAAATTATTTAAGTATCCAATAAAACAAGGATAGCCATTATCTCTCAAGAGGTGGCAAAAATGATCACAATATAATCAGGAAATCTTGGGGCACATTTTTTCAATCTAACACTCCAAAGTGAGCATTTAGGTAGAGGAAATTATTTTCAAATGATAAATCTGGTCTTTGTAGGAAATTACACTGTTCTGGAAGAACTAGACTTTTTTGTACTTTGATAAGAGTGGAAAGATCTTTTAGAAGCTTTAGGTCACAGATAATCAAAGGAAGTAAAGGAATTCATGGAAGGTCATGTTCAAGGAAACTTTCTCCATCTTAATTAAATATATCTCAGCTTCCCTGGGTCATTATGAAGTCAAAGCTTTATTTTAGAAATAGGATTGTGGTTCTCCTAAAGATGTTTGGATACCATCCAAACTTGTTTTGTCATGCTGATATCTGAGCATTCTGGGCAGGTGGTATCTTATATAGACATGGCACCAAGAGTAGGCAGTGTGGGAAGCCACTGTAGGTTTTATGTTAATCCATTTGGTTTGGCATATCCAAGAATGCCTGTAAAATAATAAGCAGGTAACTTTATTGCCTAAAAGTTGACACTGAACATATATAAGTCTTGAAACAAATTAATTGCAGGCTTTTTCTTCATTACAAAGTAATAGTACAAAATAAAACACCAATTTAGAAATAAAATTGCTTGACCAACCTTAGGGTCTATCTTCAGTGAGTTGTAATTTATATAGATAGAAAAAGTTTTACGTTTTTATTTATATTAAATGGTATATTGTGCAGAACTCCTAGTACATAGAAAGATGTCTTATGGACCCAACAAAAAATGAGTAATAGGAGACTTTTGCTTATATCTCACACCAATTTCAACAAGGCAATGTCTATACATTTAACACTTTATTTTCCCAAAATATTATATGTTATCTAGATACAAAAACTCTGCAAAACCTTAATATATCATGAAGAAACTTGCAAAGGATATATTTCTGTATTTTATCTCCCTCGTGCTCTGGATTTCCATGGTTTATAATCATCCATGACCATTCAGAACTTAAAAGTGAAGCCCTATAAAATAATTACTCCCTCTTGGTAGTAAGAAGTTTTTTGACATAAAAACATATTTAAGTTATCTGGTTAAACTATTATATCTGTCCAGATCTTATCTAGGTAAAGCTTTTAGAACTCACCTGGCACAGAATAAGTGCTGTGTAAATATTAGCTATAATTACCCATTTTTCAAGAATTACCTCTAGTGTTATCTCCTTATGATGCCTTCATTGCCCACGAATCTCCAAATCTCTTGTGCTGTGCATTTACTTCGGCCAGAATGGGGAATCTGCTTTTTTTTTTTTTTAAGCCAATTTAATAAAACATATGTCTCAGTGTTTTAATTAAAAGCTTTGTATGTCTTTTTCTGTGAAGTTCCTATTTCATGACTCTTGTCCATTTTTTAAATTGGTGCATTAGTTGTCTTTTTAAAGTTGAATCATTATTTATATTAAGGATTTAGTACTTTTTAAAAAAAGATTTTATTTATTTATTTGACAGAGAGAGAGAGAGAGAGAGAGACAGCGAGAGAGGGGAACATAAGCACAGGGAGGGGGAGAGGGAGAAACAGGCTTCCTGTAGAGCAGGGAGATCCATGTGGGGCTCGATCCCAGGACCCTGGGATCATGATCCAAGGCGAAGGCAGATGCTTAATGACTGAGCTACCCAGGTGCCCCAAGGATTTAGTACTTTATATGATATTTTTTTGCAGATATTTTCACCATTTTGATTTTGTCCTTTGCCTATTAATGTTTTGTTGTTGTTGTTGTTTGTTTGGGGTTTTTTTTGCCTAACAGGTTTAATTTTTATATTTTCAAATCTAACTTTTTGTGTTGTGTGATGAGTTAGGGGCAACTTTTAGTTAGCGGTTGCCAGCCAGTATGTGCTTCTCCTGTCCTTACATGTACTGTCACAAAGGGCAGGAACTGTCAATGCATATCTGAAATCTAGGGGAGAAGTCTAGGCTGGGGTATCTATCTGGATGTCACCTGTCTAGAGCATCATGGAAATATGGGTGCAAGTGAACTCTTCTGCAGCAAGAATGGAGAGGAAGAAAGGAAAAGAAAACCTTTGGGACATAGGTATTGAGGGTGAGAAGAGGAAAATGATTTGGCAAATTTGACACAGAAGAGTGACAATAATAAGAGTCAGGGAATCCTTGAAGGCCAAGAAGGAAAGAGATGTAAGGTGATAGTCGATTGGTTAAGTAGAGTGGGATCTGGCAGAAGAAACCAATGAAAAGGTCAGTACTAGGAACAGAGGAGCAAAAAAGAGGTGAAGAGACCAAGCTTTTTTCTACCTGGCTGAACAAGTCCATCTCCAAGCACTTATGAACACGTTAAAACAAAAACCAAAATCCTACTTGTATGTACGAAGCAATCATACATATTGTGTATTTCCTTAGGCCCTCCCTCATTTCCGCTACTGTAATGGTTTATGTAAAAGTTCCATGACAATGAGCAAAGGGAAAATTTTGTAGGGAATTCACATTCAACTTTAATGCTCTCTCTGTGCCTAGGAATGATGTTAACAGGCCAATGCGTTATCTTAATGACATTTTATTATAATCACTAAGGTTACTTAATCGACCTCACTGGGGTAGGAACCTGGGCCTGGTCTTTCTGTGCGAATTCAAGATCGAAGTTGTATATATAGGCAGGATTTCAAAACAGGGGGAAATAGGGAAGAAGTGGGATCACTCGGAGGTCGAAATGTAGTACAGACTAAGGATCTGTCTCAGCCTTCAGAATCTTGGCCTGACCTCCCTAGGGGCACAGAAATGGGGCTGCCTGCTCTCCCTTTACCCCTGCTTTGTTTCTTACAGAAACAAAGTTTCTGTACAGTTTCTACAGACTTGTCTATGGACGCTGTTTTTGCATGCGCTGATAACATAGCTGGCATTGTTTGCTTTTCCCTCTTAGGGAGCAGAAAGGAAAATCCGAGACGAAGAGAGGAAGCAGAACAGGAAGAAGGGGAAAGGCCAGGCCTCCCAAACCCAGTGCAACAACTGTGAGTGTTGCTGAGCGGGGGTGGGCTCTGGCCAGTCCATGTCCCCTCGGGGGGACAGGTGGGAAGAAGTGGGTGGTGGGCGAAATGATGGGTGTGTGAGGGATGGCCGGCTTTTCCCTAGCCGTGAAGACTGGGTGACTTGTCTCTGTGAAAAGCAAATGGGATCCCATGATCACAGATTGTTTGTGCTGGGAGGGACTTTGTAATATCACGGAGCCCAACATCTTCCTCCTCCAGACGAGGAATCTAGGCACGAGAGGCTCTATCTCCAGAGTGCTCGCCCAGAGCTCATGCGCTTTCTGTTGGTTTGGCAGTGGGAAATGGGGCGATTGTAAAATGTGTTCACATCTGTGGCTTTTGGAAAGCTTCAGAGGGGACAAGAGGGAACTCAGACTAGGGCTTACAGCTGAGAGCTGCTAGTCACACATAACCCTCTCACGTCCAGCCTCTGATGGGAAGTTGGCGGCGCTGCCTTTGCAGAAGAAGAGCGACATCACCTACTTCAAAACCATGCCCGACCTGCACTCACAGCCGGTGTTGTTCATACCCGATGTTCACTTCGCAAACCTGCAGAGGACAGGACAGGTAGGCTCTACCTGCTAACATCCACCTGCCCTCCCTTCCCGGGCCGGTGGAACCTTAAGACCGAATCACGTCGGGCAGTGTTGACCTTGAAAATAACCTTTGTACTCCCTGTGTTGTCTGAAAAGCCAGTCATTCCCTAAGAAAATGGATTTGTATAGAAAGGAATGTCTCAGGAGAGGAAACTGACTTCGTAAGGGGAAGAAGAGAGTGAGCTGATAGTGGTGAAGTGTTGACAAAGCAGTGAAAGCGGAAGAAAGTAAGGAGGCTGATAAACCTCGAGAAGTTTTGCGCTCTTTCGGGCTGTCCTTTGGTCCTGTGGAATTAGCCTGGTGCGACAGAGCTCCATCTAATGGTGGAAAGTTGAACTGCACCCAGAGCTTCAGAAAGTTGCCCAAGAGGAAAAATTTTTTGATTACATAAAACCATACCAACAGTTTTCCCCCTAGTAAATTAACAGTTCCCATTGAATACATAAATCACTCCACACCAAAAGAAAAACGAGATTGTAGACAAGCCTTTTTAAAAGTAATTCTTGTCTTCTGGTTATATATCTACAAGCAAAGTTAAAGAGCTAAAATTAAAATAACATAAACACCCAGTAATCAACTCAGTATGGTAGCTCAAGTTGATGAAATATTAGGTGTCCACTAAAAGTATAATTATGTAAATTATGTAGCAATATAGGAACTAGTTACAATAACATTTAGTGCAAGAAAAAATTAGCATACCCTTTTGTGTCTATACTGTGATTGTAGATATATATCTGAACTTGAATGTAACAAAAATTGTAACATTTGATGTTGTGATGGATGATTTTTTTCTTTCTTTAATATTTTTAGTATTATTTATTTTATGTGATAAATTAGAGTCGTAAAAAAAATGTACTTGCCTAGCATTAGCCTGATTTGTCCTTCAGTAAATCAGTTGGGTTTTAGTGAATCTTGTGTGGGTTAGCTTTCTTTTAAACTCAAAATCCTCCGAGGAAAAGTTTGTTTTGAGAAATGAGGCTTACTGACATACTCAAGTTTTTCTCCCATTCTGAATGTTCAGACCCTCAGTGGAATTGACCTTAGTTAGGAGAGGAAATCATTATTGGCTCAACTTGCTCTTTCTGAAGAATATATTGTCCGTCCCCGTGTTGTTGCATTATAGGTATGAAATAAAGCAGTTACACAAGCAAGGCTTCTTTGTTGCCGTTCATGTCAGAACATGGTTACAAAATACATCTAGTTTTTTTCTTAGAGTACATTCCACTAAAAACTAATTTAACAATCTCATCTTGTCTTACTTGTTTGATAGGAACAAGGTCACAAGGGAGAAAGAAGAATGTTAGGATTTATCAAGCTATGAGGGCCAGCACCTCATTTTAATTTATTTTTTTAATTCCCAAGAGTTTGGTGATTTGTTCATTTACCATCTTAGCGCCCTAGGATTTTATGAAGCTGGGTATCCGTACTTTCCAGAAGAAGGGATAATTCAAATTGTTCTTAATGTTTACTGTCATGATTCTGGCTTCGGCTCTGTGTCAAAGCTGACAGCCTGACCTGTTCTCTTGGCAATGTTTCCCTGAAATATACAAAGCTGTAAATAAATCTTCAGAGGAAAATTGACCAAATCTGTGAGTCTTCTGGCCTCACTTGGCCTCTCCATGTCCGACCTGGGTTCCTAGTCTGTGGCCAACTCCGAAGGAAAAGGTAGCCCGTATAGTTTATTAGGTTTTTCTGTTTATTTTTTAATTTTTTTATTTTACAGTTTATTGGTTTTAGCATTTGCAGAGCAGCTCACTCAGCACCCCCAGGTCATGGGCAAAGTTCAGTTCTGCAGTCTGGGGCCGCCCTGGCAGAGCCCTCAGGCTTCCCCTGTGCCCTTGGAGTCAGAGTGAAGGGGGTCAGTGAGGGAGCCTGCGGAAGCTCTGGGCAAGGAAGGAGCACAGTCAGCTGTGCTCTGGAACAATGCGAGAATAGTCCATGGTTGATCGACTTACTTGGTTGGCCCAAGGACAGGAGCACCTATACTGTGGCTCGTTGGGACTTAAAATCTGCCTTTTCTTTGAAGAGCTAGAAAGCAGGGAGATGGGTCCAGAGGCAGGAGGGAAGCCGACAGTGCCCTGATGTCAGAAGTGGGTGTGGGGAGGTGGCTCATTTTGACATGCAAGACAAGATCCAGCTGTGGCAGGTCAAGTCCCAGATGGTCACTGGGGAATGCCTTTAAAAACAGGAGCTTGGGAGAAATTGTGAGATACAGAGGCATCATCTTTCTGATTGGACTTCCTCAAGGCACCTGAACCCAAGGAGGACTTTGCTCTTCCCTCATACCCTCAAGAGCAGTCTTCCCTGTTGTAGGTTGTAAACCACCTTCCCCAAAACCACAGGCGTGCTTGATAAGAATTCAGGTTCCCAAGTTCCATTCCAAGTGTTTTGAATCAAAATCTCTGAAGAGGGTTCCATACTTTTCATTGTACTCTAAAGTTTGAGAAACACTCTCTAAAAATTAAATGCCCAAGGAGTCCCGGGCGGCCGGCTCTGTTATGCTGTGAAGTCAGGGAGTGACAGCATCCCAGGCACTGCCAGGAGCCTTTGAGAAGTACATCTGCACCGGCAGAGACTACTGAAGTTAAAATGTAAATGTCTGAGGCTAACTTGGGTCTCGCCCTTCACCGGAACAAAAATGATCCCGAAACACGTAGATGAAGCTCAAGAAAGGCCTGCAGTTCATGTTCATAATTGGGTCATGTGGACCTACGTGCATACCAGATCCCCTCTGGAGTTCTGTAGTTTCATAAAATAATAAGGATGCTTCATAATTTCTCTAAATCTGATTCTGCCTGCCACAGGGCTGACCACTGAAAGGAATCTGTTCTCAGAAGTCTTCTGGCCTGGAGCACCTCCTAGAGCTACATGGCCTTTCCCCAGCCTGAGGACAGTCGACTTTAAATGTCTGTGGTTGTGGAATGCCAGAAAGGACTAGGCCCTTTCGGGGAACCAACAGAGAGGCCTGGGGTTACTGCCGCACTGCCCTGGGACTCTGGCTCCCGTCTCTTCCCCAGAGCATAGTATCTGTAGTCAGCTCACCTCTGGACCCAATGGGATCGGCTACTCACAGGCCTTGCTCCAGAGCCTTTCTAAACAATGATTTGTAGATCCTGCTAAAGTAGATCTTTAATATCAAAAGCAAGGGCTGGCTTAGAACTGTAAGTAATCTGATCAGAATGACCTGAGCTAGAAATAATCAGATTTCCAATTTTGCTTCCTTAAAATCTAAGAAATAACCCTGGGGAGAATGTGGGGTTAAAGTTGTATTTCCTTGGACATGTGCGTGCGTGTGCGCACACACACACACACACACACACACACACAGCATCATGACACAGATTTGCCTATCGTCTTCTTTAAGACAGAGTGAGAGCCTAGGAAAGTCTGGATCATGTGATATATTTCCATTTCTTGCGTCTGACCTACAGTAAGTCTATTGTTTCTTCCCACAGGTATATTACAACACGGATGATGAACGAGAAGGGTAAGACACTCCGTCCTTTCGCCTTACGTCCAGAGTCAGTTCATGGCAGTAGAAATGGCTCTTGGAGCACAGGATAACCATGGACTTAGAGCTGAGAAATGAGAAAGGCTTGACCCTGGGGCTGTCTCAGAGGAAGGCTAGGGAAATGCTGTTCTCCTTCCAACCTTTCTTTATCTCTCTTCTTTCTGTGATCTCCCTTTGAATAACTAGCTATTTTTCTGAGTGACCCATCGCTTAGATTTTGCCTTTTCACCAGTAATCCAGTTACTGTCATCTCTGGCCCCAACACAAGATCAGGGTGAGCGTGGGGTGGGAGCCACGGAGACAGCTTGCCCTGCCTAGTCAGTAGTGCTCAGATCACCCATGTGAATCTCTTCAAGCCCTCACTGTGGGAGATGGCCCAGGGCTAGTGGCGAGGCTAGTGTGAATGAAGCTAGGGAGGCTGAGAACCTAGTCACCGTCCTTGGGATTGTCGGTAAGGAAGATTTTACAACGGGTCACTAAGGCTCCCAGGTGTCTTGCACATCGAGTTTCTGCATAGTGCTTTCTGTGCGTTTGCTCATTTTATACACTCCTGGAATTTTAGAAACAAAAGGGAATCTTCGAGGTCATTTAGCTGACCCTCTCTTCTAAGCAGTGTAACACAGTACCCCACATTTTTGATAGGGAGTCAGGCAGCTTCTACTTGGACACTCTCACTGAATGTAAGACAGCCCTGACTCCATTGGACAGTGGCAGCTCTCAGAAAGTTCGTTTGTTGAACTGATGTCTACCTTCACCCACTGACTCTAGTTCTGCTCTAGAGAAGCCCCATCCATTTCTCCTCTTTCAAACATAGTTTTACATCTCAACATCCCCACTCCAGGAGATACCACCAAATTTTTGAAAGTTTCCCTAGAATTGGCTCTCAGAAATAAACCATATGAGTTGGAGATTATATTGGGATAAATTCTTCTTGTGACCTGGACCCTTTTTCCTCTTAAAGCAACCTAGAACTACATTCATTTTTCAACATCCTATGTTATATTACATATATACCACTAAAATCTTGGTTTGCATTCTATCTGTGTAACTGAAGTCTCCAGATCATTTTATTCAGACTGTAGTCAAACCAGAGCTTCCCTGTGCTTATGCAATTAGTATAATTATTTCTAAAACATTTCTCGGTGAAATAAGTGGAGCAGATATTGCTGAGTTCATTTCCTAGAGCAGAGTTTGGTAAACTACAGCCTGAGGGCCAAGTCAACCCATCACCTGTTTTTGGAACAGTCCATAAACGTTGTTTTTTCCTTTTCTTTTTCTTTTTTAAGTAGGCTCCATGCCTAGAGTGGTGCCCAGGGCAGGGCTTGAACTCATGATGCTGAGATCAAGACCTGAACTGAGATCAAGAGTTGAACGCTTCACCAGCTGAGCCACCCAGGCACCCCATCTGCAAACATGTTTAAATGGTCAAAAAAAAAAAAAAATCCAAAAGAAGAATAATATTGTGTGACAAGTGAAAATTAAATGAGATTCAAGTGTCCCTAAAGTTTCATTGGAACAGAGCCATGTTAATTCCATTATGTCTTGTCTGTGGCTGCCTTCCTACTGCAACATCGGAGCTGACTAGTTGCAACAGAGACCTGTGTAGGCTGGAAAAGCCTAAATATTCACTAATCTGGCCCTTTACATAGGAAAAAGTGTGCCACCCTCTGGTGGGTAGAAAAGCTCAAAGGACTCAAAGAATTCCCCAGCTGGTTAAGTGCAGAACCTTGCCCAGCACCTGACCTCTAAATTCAGAGTTCTGAATTTTCTAAATACCTAATTAAATTGTTCTTTTTATCTTGGCACATAGGTAATAGATCCCCAGTGGCTGGAAGGAGCAGAAAGATTAGCACTATCCATTCTCATCTGTTACCTACTTTACCAGGGACCATGTGGCGTGATGGAAGGAACAGTGACTCTGAGCTTAGGAAGCCCATGTTCTACTTCAGGGCTGTGGCTTACCAACGTGAGGCTTTGGGCTAGCTCCTTGACCTTTGGCCTTCGGTTTCCTTAGCTGTAAAATGAGGCTTTCGGATGAGGTGACCTTCAAGGTCTCATCTAGCGCTCTACTTACTCTATTGTACTCTTCCCTTCTCCCGGAGAAGTTAGCCTCGTCCAGGAGAAGTACCTGAGACCTGAGTGCTGCCTCATGTGCACACCTCCCCTGGCACAGCCCACACGGCCCTTCCTAGCAAGCTGGCAACGTTTAGGTGGCCAATGACCTATTTCTAACTCGTCTGGCTTGGCCTCTCTATAGGAATTACCCTCTGCTGTTGCATAATCATGAGGCCTGAGGCCTGAGCCTCTGTCTCTCATTCGTCTAGTTAGAGTTCGGTTGAGCACGGTAGGTGGCCTTGGAGCCCCAGTGCTAGTACAGGGTTGGTACGTGGCCATTGTTATATGTAGAAGTAATAGTTAACATTCACTAGCTGTCTTGGCTAGGCACTGTCCTGAGTGCTTTGTATGCATCGTTGGGTTGAAGTCTCCCAAAATTCCCATGGGGAAGATGCTGTCATGGCCTCCACTTTATAATGAGCAGCAGAGCTTAGGACCGAGAAGCGTCCTAAGTCTGAGTCACGCAGCTGGCAGTGATAGAGGCACTAGGAACCCCGTCTAGTGGTGCTCCCCGTGGCCTGCTCTTAGTCATCAGGCCCTGTCACCTCCCTCTCTTAATTCTTGATCCGTGGCTGCCAGGGAGGCCCAGAGAGAGGCCCCGACCCCCATTGTGATTGCTTTCCGGTCTTGACCAAGGCACACCCTTGGCTCACCCTTTGGAGTGCAGGACCCAGACTGTGACAAGCCCAGGTAAGGGTACCTGGAAGAGGGGGCCAGTGCTCTGAGCCCCGAGGAGTGCCACCACCCTGGCACTCACAGAGCCTCTGTCACAGCTGTATCTGGCCAGTTCAGTGCTCCCTGCCAAGCAAGAGCCATTAGTATGACAGCATCTTGTTAAGAGCTGGGAAGCCGCATTCGCTCAACCACAGTCAGAGGAGGTAGCACAGTGAGGCCCACCACTCCCTACCTCAGCTGCTCAGAGGCCCCCGTGGTACGAAGACACAGGCTTGTTCACAAGCACAGCCCGGGGCCTCCAGTGCCAGCAAAGTTGGGTGTGATTAAAGCAGGAAAGTAGAGGAAACACAGATGAGGTGGGAGGGGGAGCCATCATCAGGCACGTGCCCAAACGGACAAAAAGGGGAACACCTGTTTGCTTCTGCCTCTCTGATGATAAAGTGAGTATGGGGAGGGTCACTTCTGGTGCTGAGTTTGGGCATCAGTAGAGCCCATGCAGGTTTGTTTCCTAGGCAGGGGATCCGAGTTAGATGCAAAGGTTCTGGACAGCGCTTCTCAGCAGCAGGCCTCTTGCTGCAGTTTGGAAGCAGCTGGGAGTTGAATAATAACTCACATAGGGGTAGCACCCCCAGGGATTTTGATTTCATTGACATGGGGTGCAGCTTAGGTAGGGAGACCTTTCCAGAGTCCCCAGGTGATCCTGATGCCCGGCAGTGTGTGTGAGGTTCTCTGCCCTGGAGCCAGCCAGCCGTGATCTGAATCAGACCGTTACAAGCTCCATAACTTAGTATAACGACTTTGTGCAGTCTCATCTAAAAATAGCAAATGATAATACCTAGTTGGTAGTCTGTCGAATGTCCTAGCATGTGGGAGAGGCTTTCAAGGGGGGAAAAAAATCATGGCTGTTATTATTGTGGCTAAGGTTCCTTTTCAAGCCCCCAATAAATGATACTTAACTGAGAAATGGAAGAGAGGAGGAGGAAGAAGAATGGAAAGAACAAACCAGACAGGAAGAATTTTCTGTGGAATATGGGCTCTTAACCAGGGATCCATGAATCCCTGGGTTTTTTTATGGGGAAGAGGAAGGGCTTTAAACCCCTTGAAATCATATGCAAATTGCTATGCAAATGTCACACATGGTGGAAAATGCTGTTCTAGTCCATTACTTCAGGGGATCTGGTCCCCATGCCCATCTGACCTCTAGTTCCTGGAAAACCCTTCTTATCTTAATCTCTTGCTCAGTTGTCCCCACAGAGGGGCCCCCCATTCCAGCTTACAGTTGGGTCCCTTCAAGTCCAGCACCTTTGTAGATTTCACACTGCATTTGGGGCACAGGGACCCTTGGCAAGTGTGTCTGGAGGACAGTGGTTTTCCTCCAAGAATCTGCCATCACCATGGTGCTGATTGGAATCCTCAGACCACAGTCCTCTCCAAAAATTTCTCTTATCCCCTTGCTTCTTCTCAAAGGCACACCACCTTGGGGCTGCATTGTAGTATCTCCTCAAAAGCTGAAACTTCAGGAGAAGGAAAAGGTTGGGCAGGGCAACCACCACCCTGTGGATTGGTCCCATACCAGCTCAGGGAGAGAGCTGCCCAGGATGACATCACTCATCTTGCTGAAGGATGCCAGTAGAGGGCCCTGCCATTCCTCTTGCAGGAGGGAGAGTCCTGTAGATATTGCCAGACCAAACCATGAGCCTGGTTACAGTGTTGCTGAGAAGAGCCAGTTCTGGTGCTCATCTACCATGGAAGCAAACACTTTGGCTAAAGTTCAGTACCCTTGGAGAAGTTAGAGATTATTAACCAATCACCAGTGAGTGCATTTAATCAACATAATATTAAATCTAAAAAGTCATCACGCTGTGTTCATCTGCACAAAATAAAAGTCTTCTAGCATTCTAACTACTTCTTTTAAAGGAACACTTTCACAGAGCTCCAAGTGCTTTGCTTTGATAAGGTTCTCAGGGATGCTAAGCAAACTACGAAATCATAGCAAGGTATACTGGGCTCACAAGGTGGTTAAAAATAAAGGACAACTCCCCCCAGTTTCCCAAGGAAGAGCTGAAAACATAAATTAAAGCTTTAGGGCCAATTTGAATCATTAAACCATTATGGATATTGCCAAAAGAATCAATGATTTACTGGTACTTGCTTTGTTCATTTAATTAACCTACATTTAAAGAGTA